CTGTATAACCACACCATTAATAAGTCTCTTTGTTTCCTTTTTGTACCATTAATACTCATTGGTTTAATAATGTATAACTGAACAATTGATATTATCATTTTATTTTCTATTTAATATATATATATTCGTCCATTAATAGAAATATTTTATTGATCTTTCTTAGTAACTTTACACATCAGCCTAATTTTTTTTTTTATATATATAAAATTATGAAAAAAATATATTTTGTTTGTATAATGGCTTGTAGAAAATTACAAATTGTAAGAAAAACAAAAGGCTAAGATTAAAAGAAATGTTTAGCCCTAAATCTCTCCAAATTTCTAATTTATTCTCCAACCGGGTTCAGCTCGAACCGGGTCGAACCAAATCAATTTCGCCAGCGGATCGGGTTGCTCGGACCGGTTGGGTTCGAAATGGGCTATAAAAGGAGGGCCCACGAGCAGCCGGCCCATTGGTAACCACAAGTGCCTCTCTCTCCACGGCGCCCGTGACCTCTGCCGATCTCTCTCGCCACGATGGCCCAAACCCCAGCCCTAATCGCAATCCCGACCCAAATCGGGCGGCCCAGTGCCGCGGCACACCCGGCCGATCTGCTCCTCTTGATCGGTTCGTCGCCGCCGGAGGGCGGAATTCCTTTGTGTTCCTTCTCTCGTTCGGTGCCTCTACCGATCCCCCGCTGACAACGTTGTCCTGCTTGTTGTTAACTTGGTGGTGCTATAGTTCACCTCCACCTCTTTCGGTTGCGGATTAGTTGTCGAGGCTTCATTTTGGGTCTTTCATGTGAGTTCGTGAGTAATTTTCTGATTCCTGTATAGGAATTTCTCGGTGCCTTGGTTTTCTTGTCGCCTCTGTTCTATCTCGTATGATGCTTCAGCTCAAAATTTGTTTCGTGGGGTGCTCACTGGTTGTTCGATTGCAGAACTATGAAATTTTTCTGTGCAGTGAGGCTGAGGATCTCTGGCATCTGTAGGTTCTACTCCTCCTTGTTAAGATATGAGGTATTCTCTTCTCCTCCAAGTTAATTGTCGTTGTTGACGTTGAAGCTGGTGGTGTCAATTTTTCTAAATTAAAAAGATTCGTGCTTGCAGTGTGCTGTTTTATTTATGTAGTTGTCATTTGTGTACCATTTAGATGGTGTCTTGATGACCATGTATTATTGCTCATCTCACTATTACAAAGATAATAGTTGATAAACTCTTTTTTTTTTTTTTAGGTGTAAGGACTCATAATACTTATACCAAAATATGCTAATATATAAGCAAGATACATGAAATTGTCAATCAGTTTGCACAAATATTATTTTACTTTTAATGAATAGTGATAAAAATGATAACTGTCATGCCTATAATGGCTTTATAATAGGAAATAATAGCTTGGCTATTATTTTTACCCCAACTATTTTCTTGCAACTCAATGAGATTAAGGTCCGGTCAGGATTCTTTGTGTTGGATTGACCCCAAAATATTAAATTATGAAGATCTGGATATATATCATTTTAGAGAATTAGAATTCAGTGATTAAGAAGTTAAGTAAAGGTAACTTGGACTTGCCTAGCTGTTCTATCTTTTTTCATTATTTCTTTTGGAGTTCTTCCCCTCTTCGTTTGTCAAATGATTTCTTGCTGGTCTACTAAGTTCCTTTTACCCTTCTCGTATAATTGGTGGAAGCCTCTTTGGTGTGAGAATTGAACGGAAAGGGCTATGAGTCCAACTTAGGTGATGTGACCGAGAGATTGGACACAATCAGTTCAACCTTGATTCTTGTTTTATCTAGAGACCTTTGAAGTGCTTGGGCTTTGCCTTGCCACTAGAGCGCCTAGGAGGGTACTCGAATGAGTAAGCGAGTGTTTGAGCACTTTTTGACAACACTACCCAAGTGACTAGGCGAACGCTTGAGCACATTTTGACAACATTGTAAGGCATTCATGGCTACCTTGTTCCACCTTACAAACAAGGAGGAAGTTAGCTATTGCTAACTTCTGTTTATGGTGTTGGATGATACATTAATAGATCATTATTATGATCCTCTTGAGGGTATATGATTACAACACATTTTGAGGGTTTATTTATATGCAATTATGAACTTCGTAGTGGAATGCATGCAAAGTGGAATTTCAGAGGGGTTATGTTGTGCCAAACATTCTGATAATTAGAAAATGCTGTATTTTTATCAAAACCATCCATCCAAAATTAAAGTTTCTTTCATAGCATTCATTTCTATTAATGCATCTTAATATATGTTAGTATTCTTAATGTGGTATGACAGGAGGTGATGATAATGAACCAGTCGACACAGAAACACCACCGCCAACTACAAGTCATAGGAGAAAGAAATCATCAGTTTGGGAGCATTTTACAATCAAAGAAGTCTCTGACGGATGTATGCGAGCTTGCTGCAAACTGTGTAAACAAACCTTTGCATACAGTCAAAGATAGCGGGCACTAGCTACCTCAAGAGACATATCGCCTTAGATTCCTGCCCCGAAATAAAATATCAGTACAAACTGGCACTTGCATCGGTGGCAAAATCTGATGGAGATATCCCTGATCCACCCAAAAGACGCTATAGGTCATCTGGTTTTTCAAGTGTTTTGATCAGGACCAAAGCTGTGTGAATCTTGCCAAGATGATCATCGTGCATGAATATCCACTCGGCATGATTGAGCATGTTGAATTGGTGGAAGCTCAACCATCTCAAGTATCCAACGCTCTCAAAGATGGCCCGAGATATCATTAGTTTCATGGTTTTATTTACACATTTAATTTTTGTTGTTTTATCTTACATGTTGAATTTTGTTCATGTTTTCTTTTACTGTGGGTTTTGCCGCCTTACATTTTTGTTTTGGTTTTCGTTAATTATTTCAGATAAATGCTAGACATATTTGAAGTTTATCACTTCCCATTTTTTTGAAAGTCTGTTTTTCACTCACAAATATGGTTCATTTTGTAGGTTGCGGTGTGATCTAAGGAAATAATATGATCATGGAGCGTATGATCTCTTTCTTTCTCGGGTTTTCCCCCTCCATGTTGAAGTGCATGGATCCCCTGGACTATGTACCTCCTGCTCTAAAAAAATGTGACTGTCATATGTGGCCTCTTGCTATCAGGGGACTTGGCAAGTTCATTGTAAAAGTTATGAAACATGAGAGGAATCTTTGTTGCCATTGATTCTGCCAGCAAAAGCCGGACTGTGTACCAATTGCTATTGGGAGTGGCTGGGTTCGAATGGGTAAGTGTGTGTGATCGATCAACAAGGTGGTGGTTACATGATCCTCCTGAACACCTCATCGAATGGTGTATCATCCAAGTGAGTGAACTGCTGTGAGAAATGGGAAAGGTCTTTTATAGCACGAGTTTCCATCCTAAAACAGCCCCATCATTCTATGATCTATGGGTAATCTGGTAAATTGGATTTGCTTCCCCTCATTTCTCGAACATTTTTGTGGCCCCCAGAAGAAACAGTTAGTGACTGTTATGCTTAATTCGAGTTACTGACTGTTGTTATGCACGATTTGTCATCTTGTGCTTCTCTAAGAATTTGAGACATAGAGATAGATATCACATGATCCATTATTAAAGTAGTCAAGGTTTTGAGGACACAAGTGGTTAAAATAAAAAGGTAAGTCCTCTTCTACTTCTTATTAGGTTAATGATGTATTTTTATAAAGAGTAAAATATTTTGTGGAATATTGGACGAGAGAGAGAGAGAGAGAGAGAGAGAGAGAGAGAGAAATATTTCATATAGTATTATTTGGATTTTTGTTCATGCGAGTAGATGAGTAGAAAATGATATGGATGATTAGCTTAGAATGTATTCTTTATAAAAAAATAATCAATGCTTGAAGCTTTAAAAGATTCTTACTACTGCTATTGGCATCATGGAATTCCAATACAATGCCCCATTTGTATATATACTAAAATAATATATAGGAGGGGGATAGTCACACACACACACATATATATATATAGTTACTAAAATAATCTAGAGGACTGACTGGTTCAAGCATAAATGTGCTCATGGTCTCCTTCTTTGATCTATCTATTCGAATCTCTCACTATACCTAATGCGTAATGCTAGATTTGCTTAGATAGAGATATTTATTGTAACTCAATCGATGAACCTAAACCTGGATTCAAATGTTTAAATGACCAAACTCTCATATATCAATTTTTCGTGTGTGGGACTCAAAACAGAAAACATAACATGTAGTAGTCTTGTCCCTACCCCATCTGATCTTTATAAATAACACATACATACGCTTACCATATGTTAACTAACATATGCTTCCCAAGTTGGCATGGAAGCCAACCGTAGGTGACTAAACAATGCACATACATGATTAAGGTCAAAAAGCTGATCTATGAAGACAACCATAACAAAACTTACCTGAGTTCCTCGAGCGGCAATGCAATTCTGATCTTACGAAGAATCACTGGCTGCATGCATCATCTCAGATTACCAATCTTAGTCGTAGATGATTGCAATGCAATTCTGCAGTGGAAATCAACATGATCTTCTCCGATCATCACTTGCACAACCATCATACAGACACTTAAAGCAGATAAGCTTTTATCTGGAATAGTCACCCACTGACTGATGATTCCAAGAATGACCAAAGCAGCCACCTCTAGAGTACTTTGAAGTGAGTCCGGCATGGCATAGCATGGCAGGGCGACCGCTGCATCAAGTAAGTGACCATCTTGGGAGATAACTCTAGCTGGGCGTCAATAAACATTCAAATGGGAAACACCACACTACACTAGGACGGATAACCTACCGTGTCCTAGAAACATAAAAGCTGGCACACATTACATTTGCAACGATACATAATGCTACAAGGAAGCCACAATTTATAGTCATCCTAGATTTCCATTTTGACTATAGCGGTGGATGGTGGCTCTGCCATGGTGGGCAAGTATTGGAGCCAGTCCTTCGCACAGAAAAGTGCCTCCACCGTCTCCGGACGTAAAGAGCTTCGGTATTCATCAAGCACTCTGCTTCCAGTTCCTGAACTAAATATGGAGCAGCCCGTTGAAACCATGGATACGGGGATAGCTAAGATATCTCGGGCCATCTTTGAGAGCGTTGGATACTTGAGATAGTTGAGCTTCCACCAATTCAAGATATCAAAATCTTGGATCCGTGGCACAAGTGACTCTTCTAAATATTGGTCTATCTCTGGCTTAGATGGCTGATTCACAGATAACTCAGACAGATACATATCAAAGTCTTGAAGCCCGTCCACCGTGGGCACATTGCTGTCATTGCCATTGATGTGGTTGGCCTCACCTTGGTCCACATAAGCTGGAGTCAGAGGAAGTGGCTGGGCAACATACTCGAGGTAGAGTTCATGAATGCTGTCATCGACCAACTTTACATACCTGGCAGAGTCTGCACCATAAACTTTTGAGAAACTGAACTCGACAAGCTTAATTTTGAAACGGGGATCCATAACCACAGCAAGAGCCAAGATGAGGCTGCAATCTTTCCAATATTTGTCAAACTTCTCATGCATCTCATTAGCTATGCCGCTGACCATAGTGTCCTCGCTCAATGTTGCACTATTCAGCTCCACCAGGAGTTTCCATGCTTCATGGAAAAATATATTTGCGGTTGGATCTGCTGTTGCCATGACGACATTAGCGGAGTCATACAGAAGTTTTAGGTATGTGCAAACGACTTCCACCTTCATCCAGTCATCAGCTGATGGAGCTTCATTGTAGTTATCATCACATGTTTCCAAGAAATTAAATGCTCGTTTATATTCCAATGCAGCTACAAGCATGAGGTAAGTTGTGTTCCACTGTGTCGTGACATCAAGAGATAGGGCTTTTGTGCTGAGAATTTCAAGTTGTAGAGCAATCTCAGCAAATTTCTCTTCACGGGCTGGAGAAGCTTTCACAAATTTTATACTTTCACGGATGTTATATATGATACCATGGATAGAAGCAATCACGTCTTCTGCAATAACATTCAGGATATTGGCATAGCAACGCACAACAAACAACTGTCCTTTCAGCATGAGCATGTTCTTGTTGGAGAGGTGGTCCCTCAGGTTTGCACTATAGATGTCGTGTGATGAGCAGTTGTTGTCCAAGGTGATCGTGAACAACTTACTTTTCATATTCCAATCTGAAAGGCTAACACCAATAGCTTCGCTAAGAGCATTTTCTGAATGAGGAGAAGATACCATCATGAAGCTCAGCATCCTTCGATGCAACTTCCAGTCGCTGTCAATGAATTGCCCGGTAAGGCAAATGTATCCAAGAGTCTGACTGGTTGTCCAGAGACCTATTGTCAGGCTGATCCTTCCAGGTATAGTTACAAAGGCTTGCATGAGGTTTTGTTTTTCCTTCTGATATAAAGATAAGACTTCTCCTTCAATAGTACTCACATCAACCATCTTAAACTGCGGTTGGAGACTTTGAACAAAAGCAACAAAGGCAGGGTGCTCAACCATATCGAGTGGATATTCATGCACAATGATCATCCTAGCAAGATTCACATAGCTTTGGTCCTGATCAAAAACACTTGAAAAACCAGATGTCCTATAGCGTCTTTTGGGTGGATCAGGGGTATCTCCATCGGATTTTGCCACCGAAGCAAGTGCCAGTTTGTTCTGATATTTTATTTTGGGACAGGAACCTAAAGCGATATGTCTCTTGAGGTGGCTAGTGCCTGCTATCTTTGACCCACTACTGTATGCAAAGGTTTGTTTACACAGTTTGCAGCAAGCTCGTGTACATCCGCCAGAGACTTCTTCGATTGTAAAGTGCTCCCAAACTGATGACTTCTTTCTCCTGCGTCTTGTAGTTGGCAGTGGTGTTTCTGTGTCGACTGGTCCATTATCATTACCTCCTGTCATACTACATTAATAATAATAATATATATTAAGTTGCATTAATAAAAATGAATGCTATTAAAGACACTTCAATTTTGGATGGAGGATTTTGATAAAAATACAGCACTTCAATTTTACTGGGACATGTCTCCACTATTGGTTTTTTACCGGATGACGCCCCCCTATTCGTTTTACCTGGGGACGCCTTTTTTTCTAAATGACAAAAAATCCCATGAACCAAACCCAATTGAAATTAGGGACTTTTTGGATCGATTCTGTAATCGATGAGTGCAATTTAGTTCAATTTTTGAATTTAACTGAGTCAACTTCCAGTAAACCAACTCAAACTTTCAATTATAGATCATATGATCAATTTCAGGATCGATTAGGTCAAGGGGATTGGGATCACATGAAAAATTAATTTTATTATAAAAATAATAAACTAACATGCTATTAGAAAATTTGAAAATCGAGAATGAAAATCCATATGTTGTATGCTAAAAGAATTTTCTGCATCACGTTCCTTAAGATAGCTATGGTTTGAAAAAAGACTTACCCAGTGCACGAGGCTATGTCTATATTATTCGAAACTTACCAAATCTTCCTAATCACAAAGAAAGCAATGGTTACAAGAATGAATATGAATCTAAGAAATAAAATTATATAAAATCAATGATAAAAAAGACGTTCTTTATAAATATGTATGATATATTTATCAGAAAATTATCAATAGTATCACATGAAAATACTAACATAGTAACATTTTTATATATGTCACGAAAATTCAAAATTTATTTCCCTACATTTTTAAAGATCAATGGTGAAGTGTAGAGTCATGTGCAAAAACATATAATTAAGATCTATTTGAAGATATCTTTGACCAAAAATTTGGAATTAATTTCAAAACTCGTCACATCTCCCTGTTTATAGGTGACAATACATGCTTACCTAATTGGTAGACTAGACAAATAATTATGTTCTACGGTTATATTAACACAGTTGCAAAATGAAAAGCGTACTAAAGGTATCACTAACATCTGATCCTTGTATGATCCCTAAGATTTTCATATATTCATCCTCTAGATGTGACATCTTGGTAGAACATCCATCATACGGTTATGACATTGCATAAACCTTAGAGGTGATTTTCTACATCCCTAAAAGGACATAGGTGATCGAACCATTATTTGCTTCTTTTAATTTTTTTTATAAGGGATACAAGAGATTAACACAATATAACATATCAACTCTAGGTCCATATAGGACCCTACTATCACTTTAAACCACACTACACAATGCAGCTTCAATGACAATAGCATCATGCAGATGGGTTTTAGAATGAAAGAAAAAAGAAATTTATGTAGGCAGAGAGATAGCAAAGAATGTAATGGACAAGAAAAGATTACAGATATAACATGAAATGGCTCCTAATGCAACTCATCTCATTAAAAGAAGCCTTCAAGTCACAAGTGTCTAATTCAATATCTGACGAAAGTGAAACATGAGCTACATTCTTTCTTCAACAGACCTAACTAACATGACCCCAGACCAAATATAATCTGTTTATCCTTAAAAACCATGGAAATGATTACTACTGTTGGTTGGAACCAATTATGACATTTGATATTACCAAATAGAATTAGGAACCTAACATGAGTTAGTAGAATTTAACAGCACAAAATCCAATACTAATTGGAGCACATTCCTTATTGATTCCCTTTTCTTCATTGCTTGCAATGAGTTTGGACAGATCCATTTATCAAATTTCTTTTTGTGATTAACGGCCATCATAACATATAACAAATCCATGGGGTTCTAATTCATATTTACCAAATCAGCCAATCCCACCCCAGTTCAGTTGATCTCAATCGGGATTGATCAAGAATCAAGGTTGAACTGAATGTGTCCAATCCCTCAGTCGCATCACCTAAGTTGGACTCACAGCCCATTCTGTTCAATTCTCACACCAAAGAGGTTTCCGCCAGTTATACAAGAAGGGTAAAAGGAAGTCAGTAGACCAGCAAGAAATCATTTGACAAACGAAGAGGGGAAGAACTCCAAAAGAAATAATAAAAAAAGATAGATCAGCAAGACAAGTGCCAGTTACCTTTATTTGACTTCTTAATAGATGAATTCTAATTCTTTGAAATGAAATATATCCAGATCTTCATTATTTAAATTTTTTTGGGGTTAATCCAACACAAAGAATCCTGATCAGACCTTAATCTCATTGAGTTGCAAGAAAATAGTTGGGGTAAAAATAATAGCCAAGTTATTATTTATTATTACAAAGCCATTATACCACGACACTTATCATTTTTATCACTATTCATTAAAAGTAAAATAATATTCGTGCAAACTGATTGACTATTCATGTACCTTTATTATATATTAGCATATTTTGGTATAAGTATTATGAGTCCTTTCACCCAAAAAAAAAAAGAGTTTATCAACTTTTATCTTTGTAATAGTCATATGAGCAACAATACATGGTCATCAAGACACCATTTAAATGGTACACAAATGACAACTACATAAATAAAACAGCACACTGCAAGCACGAATCTTTTTAATTTAGAAAAATTGACACCACCAGCTTCAACGTCAACAACGACAATTAACTTGGAGGAGAAGAGAATACCTCATATCTTATCAAGGAGGAGTAGAACCTACAGATGCCAGAGATGCTCAGACTCACTGCACAGAAAAAAGTTCATAGTTATCGCATCAACAACCAGTGACCACCCCAACAAACAAATTTTGAGCTGAAGCACCATACGAGATAGAACAGAGGCGACAAGAAAACCAAGGCACCGAGAAATTCCTATACAGGAATCAGAAAATTACTCACGAACTCACATGAAAGACCCAAAATGAAGCCTCGACAACTAATCCGCAACCGAAAGAGGTGGAGGTGAACTATACCACCACCAAGTTAGCAAAAGGCAGGACAACGTTGTCAGCGGGGTATCGGTAGAGGCACCGAACGAGAGAGGAACCAAAGGAATTCCGCCCTCCGGCGGCGTCGAACCGAGCAAGAGGAACAGATCGGCCGTCGATCGGACGGCGGCGCCGCGGCACGGGGCCGCCCGATTTGGGTCGGGATTGGGATTGGGACTGCGATTAGGGCTAGGGTTTGGGCCGTCGTGGCGAGGGAGCTCGGCAGAGGTCACGGGCGCCGCGATCGAAGAGGTGGAGAGAGAGCCAGTTGTGGTTGCCCATGGGCCGGCCACTCGTGGGCCTTCCTTTTATACCCCATTGCGAACCCACCCGGTTCGAGCAACCCGATCCTCTGGCGAAATTGATTTGGTTCGACCCGGTTCGAGCTGAACCCGATTGGAGAATAAATTAGAAATTTGGACACAATTAGGGCTAAACATTTCTTTTAATCTTAGCCTCTTTTTTTTTGTTTTGCATGATCAATGAGAAAATAAGGATTGAGTTTTGGTGGAGTTGAAGGTAGAATTTATATATCTAAGCACTCACTAATATCTTGCATTGGTTTAGATGTAATAGAATTTATAGGTTTGCTACAAGCCATTGTTGATCCACTCATGTTCATCCAAACTTCGAACAGAGAAAGATCAACAGGAATGTTAAAGGGACAGTGAGATCTCAGAACATTGGGTTTTGTCCATCTCCTTCTTCCTCCCAGATATTTCTCCTCTCTTCTCTATCTTGTATGCTCTTCGTCTACCCTTTGTTTGTGAAGCGCTCCACCCACCTCTCGTGCCTCCTATGCATTCTCTGCCTCCGTTGGATTCATGAGCTGTTGCGGCAGTAGGAAAGCGGAGAAGATCATGTTGGTTGATTTCCAATGCAGAATTGCATTGCAGTCATCTACCAGTAGGATTGGTTAATCTGAAATGGTGCATTGATCTCATCTACTCATGTTAATGTCAACCTCGACTGTCGTTGCTTAGATAGGCTCAACAACGTTGCATGAAGACCAAGCTTAAGAAGTCGCACATATCATTACACGCTTATTTATGTTGGCATTATTTGATATCTCTCGACTCGACATGGATAGGTAGATGTAAGCGGACAGGAGACGCACACAGCACAACGGTCCTTCAGAGATCCACCTTCTTGGCCTCGCTGCTGCTCCCTTGAAGCTTCTCCTTGTCTCCTGCGTCGTCTCCGCCGGCGATGCTCACCACCCGGGGGCCCCTGATCTTTTCCGGCGCCAGCTTCGGAAGCGCCACCGTCAGCACACCGTCCTCCAGCTTGGCGCTCACGGAGTCGAGATCGGCGTTGTCCGGCAGCCGGAACTGGCGCCAGAACTTGCCGTAGGAGCGCTCCACCCGGTGCCAGTGCTCGTCTTTCTTCTCCTCCTCCCTCTGCCGCTCGCCGCTCACCCGCAGGATCCTGTTCTCCTCCACCTCTATCTTTAGCTCCTCCTTCTTCAACCCTGCAGGTATGCACCCACCCACCGTCATCATCATCTTTTCAGCTGCTACTTTGTGTGTGTGTTAGAGAGAGAGAGAGAGAGGTACTCACCGGGGACGTCGATCATGATGTGATGGTGGGTGGGTGTCTCCTTCCAATCGACCCTGGCGTGGGTGACGACCGCCATGTCGTCGCGGTCGAGGCCGAAGGGGATGTGCTCCAGGATGCGGAACGGGTCGGGGGACCGGTCCGACAGCGGGCTCCCCGCCCGGTCCAGCCACGGCAGCAGCGAGCCGCTAGACGGCGTCGCGCCCAACCAAACCGGCAGTAGAAGCAGCAGCGGCAGTAGAAGCGCGGCGGAGAAGGGGGGCCTCATCGTCGCCATATCAAGCAAGCCAGAAGAGGAAGAAGAAGAAGAAGCGCGAGTTGTGCCCTTGGCAACGTGTCGTTCGTAGCAAAGTAAGGGAATGCTTTCTTACCGTATCGCCGATGTCGGGCGGTCTCCCGGTTATATAGGCCGGTAGGACTGGGGTCCGCCATCGGACACGTGGCGGCATCAAGGGGCCGCTAGAGAAGACGGGAAGGTTCGAGCGAGCTCAGCCGGAGGATGTCGGAAGGTACTAAAGAGAGTTCGAGAGGGTTCAGTGTTGGGCCTCTTAAGGGCCTATCGCAAATCCCCATACGCGAATCCAACCTTACCCACTCATGAATTCCGTGGTCGCGGTCGAAGTCGTCGGTAAAGTCGTGCATGTCCTGCTACCGAGTTGCCGTTGCTGAAACATATCTTTTAACCAATACAACGGCCGGCGTGAGCGAGTCTTCGTATCTCCTCCGAATCATCGTCGTCATCATCATCGTCCCTCTCTATCTCTGTCTCGCGTTTCTTTGGTTGATCTTTTAGGAAATGGCGGAGCCGGCGAAGCTCACGCTGTATTCCGACTGGTGGAGTTCGTGCTCGCAGCGGGTCCTCATCGTCCTTAATATCAAAGGTTCTTCCTTCAAGGGTTTCTAGCGTGACGCGTCGATCGCGCTGAAAACTTAACTGTTGTTTTATTCTTTGGTTGTTGAATTCGACGCCGTCGGTCTCGTTTTCTGATTTATGTGTAATGAAAGGGTTGGAGTACGAGTACAAGGCTGTGAATCTTTTGAAGGGCGAACATTTCGATCCAGGTCGGAGAGCGAATACCTTCTTTGGATTTGGCAACAATTATTGCGTGACCAAAATTGCTTATTTATTGTTTCCCCTGCGCTTCTTGCACTGATTGTTCTTCTTGAATCCAGAATTTGAGAAGCTCAACCCGATGAACTATGTTCCGGCGCTTGTAGACGGGGACACGGTAATTGGTGACTCGTTTGCAATCATATTGGTGAGCAAAAGATGTTTTTTCCCGTTATTTGATTTATGGCTGAACCCGTTGGAGCCTGATTCTTGGGTGATGGTTGTTTTGGTCCTCGCATCTGCTAATTGAAGGTGTTCCATTGGTTTGTGCAGTCTTTAGAAGACAAGTACCCTCAGCATCCCCTGCTGCCTCAAGACCCGAAAAAGAAAGCACTCAATCTCCAGGTGAACTTCCTAGGTAGATGATACCCTTACACAGTGCGGTTAGGTGTCTAGTTGGTATATGTTACCCTTTACCACTGTATTCTAGTGAGATATCCTATGCTTACGAAATAAAATTTTGCAGTTCATGTTGAATACTAGATATTAATGGTTTGTTTGAGTTATAGTATCATAACATATATCTTAGAGGAACTTAGTATAATCCTTCTTATTATTCTTCTGTTTCATTCTTTCGTGATTTCTGATTTCATATGGAATCTCTTTATGAACATCTCATTACACAATCCTTGTTTCGACAGGATGACATTAATTTTGTACTTCACATTCATCATCTTGGCATATCTCATGTGCATTTTTCTGTGAAAGATAAGACTTGGTCCTGGCCCCATGAACCCTTCGGACACAAACACAGTTTGAATACTTTTCTGCTCTTTACATATATATTGCATTATCTGTACCATGAGTTTGGATTATCTTCTGCTCTTAGTTATTGTTCAAAGTTACATTATTTTTAGTTCTAGCAAATCTCAGTGGTTCTTGCGGCCATTTGTTTTTACAGGCAGCAAGTATAGTCAGCTCGAGTATTCAACCTCTTCAGAATCTTGCTGTACTGGTAAATGAAAAGATGTACCTACTTTTTCAAAATTTCATTGTTATGTAAGATATATGCTGTTCATCTTCGAAAACTCTAATAATAATACTCGTTTCCTGCTTGTGAATTTGCAGCAATTTATTGAGAACAAATTTAACGCTGATGAGAAACTTACATGGGCTCAAAATCATATTAATAAAGGATTTGCAGGTTGTTTTTTACTCCGCAATTAATGCCTTCCATATTAGATAATAGGTTTTATTACTGGTGGTTTCCTAGAATATGTTAATCTGTTTATGGACTCTCTTTGCAAACCAATGCTAGTTACCAATCGCTGTGGTGCTTTGCACAACCAAATGGTTATCCTCCCTGCTTATCAAACTAATACCCCTCTTCCACCTCTTCTTCATCCTCCTGCACTTCTCCTCTGCCTCTTCCTTTGCCTCCTCTTCTTCTCCTTCTTTATCTCCTCCTCCTCCTCATCTTCTTCTTCTTCTCCTTCTCCTTCTCCTTCTCTTCCCACCCTTCTCAGTACCACGACATATACAGGCATCCAATGTTTTGGCATGATGGTACAAACCTGACCTGTATCAATCCAGCCGGGGCTACTATGGGTCTAGTACATGAGACTTCAAACCATAGTCTGTTATGCCTCTCCCACTATCCCATTAATCAGTGAGATATAACCAATATATCATTAAGTCGATACATTTTGCTGTACGTAATGCCTGCAAAGTCATGTTTTCAATCAGTTGTTCATTTGCTTCCTTAAAATTAGTCATTACCAGTCACCACTTAAACTATTTTGCATTCCCGAGTTTCATCTATTACTGCCTCCCTCAAATCTAATTCACGTGATGAACCTGATCTAACACATTAAAGGACCTGTGAAAGATGACCCTCATGTTATACGCCAGAAAATCAGTGTTCATCCTAGCAGGTTTCAACAAGCTGTTATACACAAGGATCATATCGTAGAGGTTTTACTACTCTTTAAAAGACTTTGACCATGTATGAATTTTCTTGATCTCATCATTAAAGATGCCTCCCTATAATCTCAAATAGAAATCCCAAAACCATTGTAAAACTTTCTAGATGGTGGATATCACAAGTCTATAATAAGTGTCCCAAATTGTCTTAAGAGGGATGCGATTGAAATTGAATTTCACCAAAATATGGTAGATCAGTATCCATCTTCTTCTCTTATAAAGAGGCATTGTGGACCCTGCATTATTTTAGTGCCTATAGGGTCAATATCACTGATATTTGATGCTTGTCTACTATTGAATAAGTTGAGGAAACACCTAATGCCTCTTAGGGGATGAGATTGGTTGCCTTATACTAGTGCTGCTACCTACCCTAGGAGCCCTACAACTGCATTCATACTAGTGTCTGACTCATCAGCACCACCAATTGCAATTATTGCCACTCAAACACCTAATGCTTGATGTTCCTGCAGTCGCATGACAATGAAAGTGTCAATTAGTTGAATTTTTATTCTGACAGTGTTCTTAGTTTCTCTGTAAACTATTCTTAAGTTTGATTGTTTGTTCGTCTTCAGCACTTGAGAAACTCTTAAAGGAGCATGCTGGCAAATATGCTACCGGGGATGAGGTCCAGCTGGTTAGTCCAACAGTAGCCTTGCGATAAAAATAATTATAGCCGA